TGATCCTTCGATCTTTCCCCTTTGCTTAATTGTTTGCTTGGAACTGCCAATTTTTCTGTATGTATATATGTATATATATGTTAGTAAAAGACTTGGTGAATATATATAACTTAGTGAATATTTGAAATTGATACCTCTCAAATTGATACATCCATCTTGTTTGAACCAGACCTCCGAGGTGGGCCTCTTATACAAGGTGAATTGGAAGATGCTCCATCACATCAAAGAAACCTCATGGAAATATCTTCTCCAACTTAGTAGTAGTAACAAGAATATTTTCCTCCATCCTATCTAAATTACTCTCCAATAAATTGCCAGAACACAAATCTTTTAAAAAAGACTTATCTTTGTGATTGGTTTCCATATCCTTTCGAGTAGATGGCTAAAAGCGATAGGAATTAAAGTTTCGATGAACACATGACAATCATGACTTTTCATACCTATCAATTTTCCTTCAATCATATCTACCCGCTTTCCTAAATTCAAAGCATAGCCCTCCGGCATCCTCAAATTTTTAACCCACTCAATAATTTCACGTTTCTCATCCAATGTGAATGAAAGGCTGGCTTTGGGCTTAACTATTTTACCGTTCTGTAATTCCTGCAGCCATAACTCTTTTCTCCTACAATATTCCTTTATGTCCATTCACTACAAAAAATGCTTAATTTGTAGCAGTTAACTTGTGGGAGTTTTTAGAAATCCCACGTATAATTCATTTTGTGACATTTTCTTTTTGACCCCCACAATATAAACTTTTTGTGGTGGTTTTATTAAGGAGGTTAGAAAATCACCACAATTTAATATTATTTGTGGCTATTATCGACCCCCAAAAATTTGTTAAATTCGTTACTTATTTATTTTATTTTATTTTAATCTTTTTTCAAAGTATATAATACAATACATTTGATATTGAAAGTTAATTTCATCATATATTCACACCCTTTTCCTTCTTCATTTTAACTTGATTGTTAATTTTTTTGATCCTCTATTTCTTTTATCTATTAAAATATTTTTGAATTTTTTTTTTACTTTATAGATGTAATTTCACTTCAACATTTTATCTAATATGGTTATACTTTACTTTGTATTATTTAGTGATTTTGGTTATCATAAAACAAAATTTTAAATTTTATAATTATCAAATTATATGTATATATAAAACTCAAATGTCAAATAAATAGTCATTTGCTTTTATATTTATTTTGTTTGATTTTTATAAGTTTATTTAAGCTTTTATAGTACTTGTTGATTTTTTAAGGTGAAACATTTTAATCAATAGTCATTACAAATTAATAAAAATTTAAAAATAAAAGCTTGTTCTATGTAATAAAAATAATCTTTTTATCTTTTATTTTGACCCAAGTCAACCAAAACTTAATACCTCTCCCTCCAAAATATTTAAAAAACTTAAAAATATAATTAATTTCCCCCTGAAAACCTTTCAAATCCAATCAAAATGAAATAACTACCCCTCCTTCCCCCCATTCCTACTAAAACACGCACACACACATCTCATTTCCTTTCCCCTTAACCCATTTCTTTTTTTGTAACTCCCTCTCCTCTCCTTAATCCCTTTGCCTCTCTCACTCTTCTTTACTTTATTTTTTATTTCATTTTTGTGTGTGTGAATTTGGTAATTACTTTATCTTTTTTTTTTTGATGTAGGCATTGCAAAGTGAAACAAATGGTAAATAACTATTTGAGTATAAAGGTAATTCTTTGTTAGGTGAGTTTGATGAATCATATTAAAATTTAGAATTTATATTATTATTTAATCTATAGGCATTTTTTATTTTGCAAGTTGATAAAATTTAATGTATCAATAATTTTACATATTGCAGGATTTGTTTAAATTCTCACCACATCGTAAAGTAATTCATATCCAATCTTTGATTGATTTATGGTAAGCCTCAATTTTATTTTTGTTTAGTTAAGGATGATGTTATTATTTTACTCTTGATTGGATTTGACTATTACAAATTAAAAGACGATTTTGCATATTAGATTGTGATCGATATCAATATAACTTATTCAATACGGAAAATTGTTGAAGTTATAATTATTTTTTTGGTAAATGAAAAAACAAAATAAGGTCAAAGAAGAAAGTCTAACTTGTAAATTATCAAAAGTTAGAAATTTTTAATAATTACACAGGCTAAAAAGTTCATTTTGAACCATCAAACCAGGTAAAGGTAGAGTCTTAAAAGACCAAAAAAAAAAAGTTCATGACTATTCCAATTAATAAAGTAAAAATAGTTGGTAGAACCTTAGTCAATGGGCCATAAATGAAGTCATTGTTATTCACATTATTATTATTATTATTATTATTATTATTATTATTATTATTATTATTATTATTATTATTATTATTATTATTATTATTATTATTATTATTATTATTATTATTATTATTATTATTATTATTATTATTATTATTATTATTATTATTATTATTATTATTATTATTATTATTATTATTATTATTATTATTATTATTATTATTATTATTATTATTATTATGAGGAGAATATTGGATGACAACAACTTAAATCACCAAATAAATGCTATAGACATTTTTTTAATGTTTATTTTATGTGGATTTTTAGTGATTTAAAATGTAATGTTGAAGTTACTATACACAAGTTTGTATTATTTTTATTTGATATGAATTTGAACTTGTGACGCTTATAAATATAAATTTGTTTAATGAAATTTGATTTGCATTAAGTGTGATATTTAGTAAAATTATTTATTTATATTATTTTTAAGGCTTAATGTAAATCAAATTTCAAATTAATTATAAAAATAATAATAATTTCTTAAGACTCCACAAATCAAATTATATAAATATTAATTTTATATTACACAAATTTAAAATTCACACAAATAAAATTTAAAAATATTGAGATCATATTGTGAAGGTTCAAAAGCGTCACATATTGATACTAGAAAACCTCCACAAATTTAAAAGTCATTTTATGGGGGTATCGTGGAAGTTTACTAAAATCGTTGCAAATATGCTCGTGGAAAGAATAATTGTAGCATTTTTAAAAGCCACCGCAATTTAATTTGTGGGGTCCCTAAACCGCCACAAATTGACAAAATAACCCCCTTAAATTGAGCCTTTTTTTTATAGTGAGAATAATAATAATAATAATAATAAAAAAAAAAAACATATAAATTAACAAATTATAAGCAAAATCAACGAATAATAGTCAAAGTATAATTATTAAGCATTACTAGTCACTTCATTGATAGTTTCTTTCAAATCAAAATCATATCGCCCGTAAAGAATATTTTGATAATGAATCATATTAGTACAATCACTAGATTGGATTATGGGGATTCCTATCTTTCTAAACTCATGGCCCATTGGCAAGAACTGGCGATAACCATCAAACCATGTATTTTTTCTGCCATGCTTTAAAGTGAATGCCTTACTCTTTTCCATGCAATACAGACATGCTAGCTTTCCAGCTGTCATCCAACCAGATAGCATCCTGTATGCAGGAAAATCATTAATAGTCCACATTAAAGAAGAACGCATAACAAAATTCTGCTTAGTTGATATATCATAAGTCAAAACACCTTCAAACCACAATTGTTTGAGCTCATGTATCAATGGTTGTAGATAGACATCAATCAAACTTTTTGGATTACGGGGACCTGGAATAACACAACTTAGAAAGATGTAGGGACTGTTCATGCACGTTTCAGGAGAAATATTATACGGAGTAAGAAATACCGGCCAACATGAATAAGGCGAAACATTATTAGAGAATGGTGTGAAGCCATCTGAACACAACCCCAATCTAACCTTTCTTGGTTCACTAGCAATATCAGGATATACATTATCAAAATGCTTCACCATCAGATGGATGAGACAAGACTCCCGGCGGCGTTCTATATTCACAATGCCAGCTCATATGTGGGGCAGACCTCATCGATGCATACAACCTCTTTAACCTAAGAATGAGAGGTAGATAATGCATCGCCTGAACTTGGACCATCTTTCCAGCCGGAGTCCTCTTATAACTAGCATGTCCACAAAACATACAATTTTCTAATTCACTATCAGTCTTGTAAAACAACATGCAGCCATTAACACAACAATGAATTCTATCATATGTCAATCCTAACTTGGACACCAAACGCTTTGCCCGATAGAAGTTCTTTGGTATGTTAAACTACGGATTAACTAGTTCACCCAAAAGATCAACCATTGAGTCCATAGCAGCATTAGGAACATTCCAATCTGATTTAATACTCATTAATCTAATCGCAACTGACAAGGCAGAATACGGACTTCCTTCACATAGTGGACGACTAGACTCTTCTAATTGATCATAAAATCGTCTTGCTTCTTCATTAGGAGCTTCATCAAAATATTGTTCCGGTTCCATCCTACCATGAACCCCGAAAGTATCATTGATCATTTCACGAACCATATCATGTTTAACCCTAATTTGGCCATGTGGTGCAACCATATTATATACATCCACATGCATCGAATTATAAAACATACCATCCAATCCATCACTTTCTCCAGGATCAATCCATACAAAATATCTAGGCTTAAATCCATTACGGAACAAATGAACCATAACTCTATCTGGTTAAAAAAAATTTAAGCACTTACATGCACTACAAGGACACCTAACCAATCCATTATTCTTGAAAATGTCAAGTGTCATTGTATGTTCAATAAAATTTCTAACACCGTAATTAAACTTAGGTTTCAAACCAGCACCAATTTCATAATGCATATTATACATCCACAAACGATGATCCATCTACAAAAATATAGATATTCAATTATATTATAAATAAAAGTTAATAATAATTTTACTAGTAGTAGTCCTAAAACTAGTTTAGTATTGACTTAACCACATTATTTATTTTAACTTATTTAAACAACTTAACAACTTGAACTAGTTTACTTTTGACTTAATACAAAACTAAATCTACCAACTAAACCACATTAATTAATTTAACTTATTTAAACAACTTAACAACTTTAACTAGTTTAGTTTCGACTTAATACACCAACTAAATCCACCAACTCAACCACATTATTTAGTGTAGCTTATTTAAACAACTTAACAACTTTTTCACTTGAACTTTTAACTTATTTAAACAAACTTAACTTTTTAACTTTAACTACATTAGTTTTGACTTAATTCCAACAACTAAATTCACTAACTAAACCGACATTATTTATTTTAACTTATTTAAACAAACTTAACTTTTTAACTTTAACTACATTAGTTTTGACTTAATTCCAACAACTAAATTCACTAACTAACCCGACATTATTTATTTTAACTTATTTAAACAAACTTAACTTTTTAACTTTAACTACATTAGTTTTGACTTAATTCCAACAACTAAATCCATCAACAAAACCACATTATTTAATTTAACTTATTTAAACAACTTAACAACTTTAACTAGTTTAGTTTAGACTTAATTCCAACAACCAAATCCATCAACAAAACCACATTATTTAATTTAACTTATTTAAACAACTTAACAACTTTATAACTTTAACTAGTTTAGTATTGACTTAATTCAAACACCTAAATCCACGAATTAACTAAATCACATTATTTATTTTAACTTATTTAAACAACATAACAACTTTAACTAAATCCACCAATTAACTAAATCAATAGGATCAACTAGTGTTGGTACTTATGCTTAACAAATATATTATTTCTAAATTTAAAGCTAAGTGTCAACACTAGATGGACACAAATCAATCTTGCAAGAAAAACAATTTTGTCATCAATAGGATCAGCTAGTGTTGATACTTATGCTTACCAAATATATTATTTCTAAATTTAAAGCTAAGTGTCAACACTAGATGGACACAAATCGATCTTGCAAGAAAATCAATTTTGTCATCAATAGGATCAACTAGTGTTGGTACTTATGCTTAACAAACAATCGATGGACACAAAAAAATTATCACAAAATTAAAGCTAAGTATTAATACTAGATGGACACAAACACATTATTGAAAACAATTGTACTTGAACTTTAGAAATTTAGAAGCACCAACCTTATCTCCTACTTTGATGAAAGAAGCAATATAGTCTTGTATCAACTTTTTTAGATGTTGAGCTTCCTCAGTTGCCTAGCACGAAAAGTTCTAAAATTAGTTATATATAAACTTCAA